AAGCACCATTTAAATGAAAATTCAAAATTAAACATGCGAAAGACATAGTAGTCATTTAAAAATACTTAATTGTGAATAGCAGATGGTACATTGCAGACGCATCTCCACTCCATGCCCTAACTAAATGTTCGGTTCTTTAGTGAATAATGTTTAGTTGGCGTTATTAGTCTGAAATCTATTGATGATCGATGAACCGTAACTAATCAGGTGCTAACGCACTAAGCCAGCGTACCCAATGGGACATGATCCACAAAGCTTGTCGCCACTCAATAATAGACCTATAATTTCTGACAACTCCAAGTCTTTCATGTTCGCCTAATAACTGGCGGTTCTTTTGTTTGTTATTGTATTCTAAATAGATCATAGCATTCCTGTTTACTTGGCCAATCAATTGTCTCTGCATATTGTCTTTGATCGAAGATGAATTCTATCTTTGAATTGTTTTACACAGTTTCCTGTGCTTTATTTTGGGGTATTTCATCTATTTTTTCTTTATTTATTTTAACTGAGCTGTCTTCCAGTGCAGATGTTTAATTTAAAACATACTTTCTTGTATTAAAGTAAACCTTAGATTTTATTATATTTAAAATAAAATTTTGTCTTATACTTATAGTACTTTACTTATTAAAAATAGTAGTAACAGTAATAATCATAATAGTAATAATTTCTTGTATTACGTAATACAAGAAATTATTACTATTATGATTATCATTTTGTGTGCTTTGATTAGGTTTATTATTTTCTTTCTTCATTTAAAAAAAATGCAAGTTAATGATTTTGGTAAGGTAGAATAGGCTGGAAAAATGTAGATGGTGATAATGATTGTCAAATTTCAGCATCAATGAAGTTGAGTAGTAGCTTTATAATAATAGTAGTAATAATATCAATTAGATCTTCATCTTTTCTTGATTTTGATCAGTACTGTTCAACTCCCCAAGTGGGGTAAACATAACAGGGTGGTTGTGTGCAATTTATACCATTATTAATTTTTAAAATAATTAAAATATTCTGTTTTAATTAGCACAAAGGTGGCGTTTGAACTCAGCCTTAAAAGTCAGTGGATCATTTATAGATATTAAATATATGTTACATATTTCATAGTGATATTATTATTAATAATATTTATAGTAATTGTAAAATATAAAATGAATATAATGAATGAAGTAATAGTGCTAATAGAAATAATAATATTAATATAGTAATTAATATTAGTTATGATAATAATATGTTTTAAAGTATGTTTCATATGCATTTTTTATTTATTGAATGGGGAAGAATGTAATTTAATATAATAAGAGATTAAGAGAGAAACATTAATTCAAGAGTAATGAATAAATCATTGCTTAACAATTAAATTGTATTAAATTTTAGTGACATTGTAATCCTAAACGCTTGTAGTAGACAGTGCCAGCTGCTCACACAAAACCCTTAATGTTTGTACTTCTCCATAAAGTACATTAAATAGAAAACTTTGCATGTTTAGTAAGTCTTTTGTTAGAAGTTGTTCCCAACTACGTACCAGCTGCATTTGTGTGGCGTGTATTATTTTTAGTGCTGTGTAGAATATTTTTTATTGGCTGACAATTTTTACAGATTTTTTTTCCCTTTCTGATTGGATTTCAATGTTTCAAATGAAATTATTGTGCCTGGGGCTGTGTGTCATTTAAAAGTTTATTTTAGCTGTGTTGTTTGGTATTAAAGCTTTTTCATAATTGTTTCTTTTGGGAATCAATGAAATTAATCAGCAGCTGGTATAACACAACACGCTTATATTATCAAGTTATTACGGAATTATTCGTCTGCGAAATAAAATTGTAAAGTTTACATTTTGTAATTATAATTCTTACACATACTTTCATAAATGGTTGAATTATTGTATTGAATGTGTGTATAAAAATATTTTTTTTTATATACATCATTGAATATTAAACATGGTTGGCAAAATAATTTTTCATGTCATTTTAATATACACACTATAATTAATAAATTAGGTTTTGAGTAAAATTGTTGTATTGTATTTTCATCACATCCAATCTATTATATTTTGTATCAAGAAATGCTATATTTGATACTTCTTAAACTTTGAAGACATTTTAAAGAGTCAAAAATCTACATAGATGTTACATGTTAACTTTACTTAAGATGAAAAATTTCCCAACAATTTTTTATCTGGATATGTGATATAATAATGCTAAAGAGAAATAATAATAACAATTACAATACTAGAAAGTATAATACATACATACTCCAAGAACTGAAATGCACGCCATCGATTGAATCCCAGCACGATGGCATGAATTTCAATACTTGGAGTATGTATTATTCTTTCTTATCGAATTATAATACAATTACTATATTATTTCTAAATATATATAGCATATCACATACAATTTCAAAGCACTTCATTACATTGCAAAAATTAAGATAGGATTGTCATTACACAAGAGGTGTGCTGTGTAAGAATTAGTTTTTATCACTTAAGAATGTAGACTTCAGTGTTATGAATTAAATAGAAAAGAAATAAAAGATGACCTATTTTTTGTAAAGTTCAGTCTAGTTAGAGGTTTTCATTGAAGAGATTTGCAAAGCCAGACGCACATAAAAATATTACACCATTGTTTCTTATTTCTTAATGCATACTGCATACAAGCAATACTAACACACAACATTTATCTAATATTCTGTTATTTACATACTGTAGATCCTTTTATCTGTGGGGTGCCATAGGCAACAATTAATGTGTGATTTTAAAACCAATGTCTAACTTCTAAAAATGTAGATCTTGTTTCAAAATTTAGATCTAATATGTCAAAAAGTAGGTCTTTTTATAAAATCAGGTCTAACTTCTAAGAACGTAGGTCTAATTTCTTTTAGCATATATCTAATTTCGTCAAACGTCCTTTTAAAATTTTGTTGCAATAGATCAAATCCAGCCAAGCATGACTGGTTTTGATCTTCATGGTACAACACTTAGGGCCTGTTTCTACTGGAAAGAAATAATCGATTAAAATCGCTTTTTCGAAAAATCGCTTTTATTCTTGCAGTAGAAACGGGACCAGTTTGAAAAAAGTGATTTAAAAAAATTGATTAAAAACATGCAATGGATAGCGTGCTTGAACGGCAAATAACCGATTTTGGCTGTGCACCTTTTAGCTGCAACACAAAAAAAGCGATTATCAGGTGAAATGTGACCTCCAAGTCAATCACTGCAAAGACTATATCGTATCAGGCGCGAACTTTAAAAAAATTGTCCTTGTTCATATCCTGGGCCTACAAGCTAAAAACGCCAACAAACATGAGGAGTGACAAATTCGTTTTGTAATTATTTTGTGGGGGGTGGGGATATTGGGCCTAGGACTCTCCGCTCTTTTGGACCTACCGTTGTCCATGTTTGGTCGTCGTTCATAATTGTGCCGATGAGCACAGCCGAAAACATTTGCCTTCTTGTCCCACATCGTATCTTACTCCTCGTCATCATGACAGGAATGAAAAAGATATTATCCTATACAGTTAGGATAACAACGTGTTGTATAAACAAAATGGTGACGTAATTTCCGTCACGAAAACCGATTTTCGAAAAATCAAAAATGCAGTTGCAACACCAGCAGGCTGTCTGGTACTCATTAAAAAACCGGTTTTAAAAAATCGATTATTTTGTGTTTATCAGTAGAAACACACCCTTAGACATGTTGTAAAACATGGATCTAAACACTTGATGCCCATTCTATTCATTGATGGGTAACCAACATGGTCATTCTATCAACTAAACTTACCCCTCCTCTGATTTGGTGATTTTTTTCCGGGCTCGCAGATTCCTTCTCTTTATATATACATATGTGTGTGTGTGTTTCATTACTATATATATTTTTTTATTTTAATAAAAAGGGTTTGTACCATGCCTTTTGCCAAGGGATACATACCGGTATATGTATAAATATTTGTAACTTTTTTCATCTATCATTAGTTTTACATTGTGATGTATTCACTGATGCAGTTTTGTAATTGACATCGAACCCCTATAGGCACTTCATCAACACTAATGTACAGGAAACAAAAGAGTAGAGAAAAAACATATTGACAAAGAATGCCGATCCAGTTCACATGTAATTCATTATGTTTTCTCAAACAACTTGAATTCCTTAGGAGTCATCTTGCTAAGTGTAATGTACTGTTGTTCTAATTCTGAGAGTCTCTTCAAACACCAATCAGAACCAAGCAGACACAGATGTAGTAAACTATGGTCACACAATAAGGGCTCTATAGAAATAGTTTATGATGTATTTGACCACTATCACCATGGTATGTTTTAATATTGTTATGAGAGTATGTCGAGACCCAATCACATTCTGGCAGACATATATAGGAAGCCATACACAACTGCATTACTCTTGTTAACCACAATCAAAGTTCTGACTGTGAGAATGTTTTGTTGCTTCTACCCAGAACTTGTCACTTCAGGAACGAATTAATCCAACTTGATATATGCTTTACATCTACAACTAATGTTAATGCATGCACAGTAACATCCCTCAACTATGTACCCCTCTGTCCCAATAGGTTTTGTAATTGAGAAAGTTTGTAATTCAATTAGTTGCGATTTATGTATGTTAGTGTATAGGATCTAACATCCACAGAAGCCAAGGGGAAGTCCCAAGAAATATTTTAGTCAAAATATTCCTTGATTACATTATTTTATTCAATAATAGTTTAAATTTCTGCAAATCAATTTTAAAGAGAGTTTGTGATTGGAATTTTTGTAATAAAGTTTACTGTGTGTATAATAGCAACAACAATGATGAAAACAGCAAGATCAGCAACAATACCTCTTTTTAGTTCTATGTATTTTGATAGGTCTTATAGTGCACACAGCAAAGCTCTTGAATCTATTTTGCTCAGAATTTTCTTGGTTAGACAATACAAATTTTTAATAATTATTTAATAAATACTTAATAATACTAAAAAACAAAACCTGGTTGCAGTCTTTAACACATAATTTTTAGCTTTGAAGAGAGAAGCGCCAACCTCCACAACATTATCAGCAATCATAAGGAACCAACTACATTCGAAGAGTTCTCAGCTCAGGTGTTTGCGCCTTCACTTAGCCGCAACATCAAACCAGGTAAGGAGCTATCTTAGGGGTTAGTGCCTGTTATGGGTCAAGTCATAATTTAAGGTTTAAGTTTATTTTGTGACTTTGATATGGTGTATGTTACGCAGGTTGTTCGGTTTAAGTTTTTTTGTTAAACTGGTACATTATTAGGTTAACCAAAAAAGATCAGTCAGAATGGAGCTTTAGTCTAGTGAGCATGTCGTTCATTTCTCTCTTTCTAGGGGTAAAATTCATTGTTGGAAACAAACTTAAGGATCCAGATTCAGCAAGTTTAGCTGCAGCAATCCTAGATGCGCAACTTAAGAACACACCATCGTCGAAATCACAGAAGTCCCGCTCTAACAGTATTGGTCACTTGGATGGGAGCACCAAGAATCGTCGTAGTTACCCAGAGAAGCTGGTGCATACCGTAAGCACAGCAGCTAGAACAGGTTTAAGTCAACTAGGTAAGTAACACCAGTAAATACTTTTGTAACACATGTAAACATCTCTGTATACACTTCTGTAATAATGTCTGTAAACACCAGTAATCAATTCTGTAAACACATAAAGTAATCAATTATGTAAACACCTCAGAAAACATGTAAAAACTTGTGTGACCACTTCTGTAAAAATAAGTACCGTACACACTTTTGTAACCACTTTTAGAAACGTGTACATACTTGTAACCACACCTAGATTAGGATCTGTAAACTAGCATCTTATAAGGCATATTCTTGTGTTTTTCATAATTTATTTTTTGGGTCCACGTTTAAAAATTCATCTTTCTAAAGACAGTAGTTATATGAGTTGTATTGTAATTAATTACTGTTAGTTACTATTAGACACTGTACTGTGTTGTTATTTTCTGTTATAAATTACTCTTGTATTAACATTTTAATAATTGCTACTGATAGGCGGTAACAAAACATCCAATTAACATGCACACTAATAAAACAGAATCCCTATTGTCCAATTACTGCACATTTAGTTTAAAAAAGCAAAACCCAGTTGACTTTTTGTCTGTAAATTAAGATAAAGTTTCAAGGACTAAATATCAATTTAAACCATTGCATTGTGGTGTTAATGGCTCAAGATTTTCTCTTTTTCATCAAACTCAATTTCTTGTTCATTGAATAAATTCACATTGAACCTTGAATACTCTCAGTAAACATAAAAAGTCTTCCATCCATTCCTTTTTCATTTTTAGTAACCTTGATGATTTTTTAATTTTTAAAATGAGTACAAAATAAGAATATAGCACTATATAAATACTGGCAAGATGATGGATGGAGTATGTTGGTATCTTTGTCATCATAGAACACTAATCATTGATTAATCCTTCATAGAAGTTATTTACCTTTATTCCTGTTTGCTCTTTTCCAATTATAGGTAAAGTAACAGAAGACAGGAACAAGATGGATGAGAAAGGACCCGTAGAGTTCACTAACTCCATCCCAGGGGACGTACAGTCTCCCTTCCCAAAGGGCCGCACCAAGTCAAGACGTCTCGCCTCTAATAATTCACATGAAGTAACACCGCCAGAAAGCCCAACTGTTACTAAGGGGGTTCGAGTTTGACAATAAGCTCTTATTTTTCTAAAATTCTTGTCTTTTTCTAAATTGTATGCAAAATATTGATATAACCGAAATATTAATTTCTGTTATATTAATTTTTTAACTTGTTTTAACTGTTGACACAATATTATATTGAATATCATTGTCATGTACTTTATATATAATAACAAAAACATTAATTTTTATTAATAATGTTCAGATTGATGTCATCAACATCCTCATGTATACAATACAGGGCATTGTTGTCATTCAGGGGTGGCGCCAGCTTTTGGCCGACTAGCGGCGCATCGTTACCTGACAGACATCCAACTCAGCCCCACCATATTTCCTTCTTCCCCGACAGATTTTACCGTGGTTTCCGCAATGTCTGTGCTCCCCTGATGGCTGGCACACCCACTTGTGGCATCACCCCTTTTGTGATTATTCTGGACCATTACTACTCAGGTGATTTCATTTAATTAATTGAGATTGAGTTTTGTATCCACTACCCACTACCTCTCTGGCACTGGCCATCCAAGCCCCCCTGGCCCTTCCCTCCATACCATAAGTCCGTCTGCCACAGGCATCCATGTTCCTCTTGCATTAGCCTCAGGCACCCAAGTTCCCTTCGGGCCATCCCATATAGGCTACCAAATACTGCATCTAGCCCTTCTTCAAATATTCTATTCAATATGCAAATACAGTATTTTATTATATATTATTGTGAGAATAGTGTTTACTTGTTATTATGTTAACCAATCAAAGATAGTTCAAGTTCATAGGTCTGTAAAGCTTGTTAAAAAGAAAACAATAATTCATTATATAAATGTTTACAAGAATCACTAAATTTGAGTAAATCTCCACATTTTATTTTACCACATGCAATCCACTTCGAATGATTAATAATTCCAGTCGGATGTGTATTCAATATCTGTGAAAGTATCTTTAAAAAAAAGCTCAAAAACTGTTTCACCTTCAAGGAAACATAGATCAAACCAATTTGGTTATCACTGATAAGAAAATCCTTACAGATGATTATTATTTCTATCCAAAGTAGATGGGAACTGTATTATTAATGCATGTTATTTACTTAGTAAAGAAAATATGTTCTTGTGCTAATTTTTAATTGATATCTAACAACGTACATACTCAAAAGTTGGGAATTCAGAAGAACCTCTTTACCATGCCCAACTACAGTAACTGATAAAGCAGAATTGGGGTGCAAGCCCCGTATTTTGTGGTGGCATGGTCATCACAGTTGTAGATTTACATGCAGGTACCTGAACAGCAGTTCGCTCAGCACCGGTCGCTTTCATCAAGCATGTAATTTTTATCCGGAAAACATCAACAAATCAAGTTTATAAAATATTTTCTTTTTATAACAATTTTATAAATTCTAAAAAAACATGTTATAATTTAATAGGTATTATTGATAAAATGTAAGTTCATATGCAAAAAAAAATTTTTTTTTTTTCAGTTAACATAGAATATATGTGAAAATAGATTGAATTTAAATGAGATATCACTGGACTAAAACATGATGTTTTGTCCCTTTTTCTAGCATTATAAAACATTGAAAAGATAAGGTAGCAATATCATGATATCAGCTTGAACAATAATAGTACGCTTAAAATATGTGTGAAAAAAATTATTATATTCTTGAAAATGAATATGCTGTGAGGACATACAATATTTTACATTACGGTAGTCTGTCATGAACAGGCTATTTTTCCCACACTTATGTTGATAGATATATATTTAAAAATTAATCAATGCATATTATAAATAATTTTTTACATATTTAATTTTGTACAAATTTTACGTAAAATAATTAATCATATTTTTATACATATTGCTGATTATTTTGTTTCTTTTAAATTGTAAAATAATGTTTTGGTTTATCTACAGAGTTGAATCTTAGTATCATTAGCATATTTTATGAGAGTTATAAATCATTAATGTTTTATTATATGTGGGTGCAACGTGGTACTATGTTATCAACTCCCAGCTGTGTGTGTTACTTAGAAAAACGTAGTGAATAACGTCATCATCAGTTTTGCATAATATTAAGATAATAACATTCATTATTATTGTCAACGTCATCAAAATTATTATGCCTGTCGCCAGCATCACCATTATTGCCATCATTATCAAAATAATGATCATCTCCACCGTCGTCGTTATTTTATCATCGTCTTCATAAACGTGCCATTATTTTATTCATCACCCTCATTACAATTTTCATCATCCATTTTTATCATCACAGTTTATATTATATTTATCATCATTTCATCATCATAATCACAATCTTTATTACCACAAACTTCATCATCTTTATGTCCCGCATTTTCATAATAACCAAAAGAAAAGCAAGATTTCCAAGACGTGAAATTCAGGATCGTTAAGGTAGCATTATTATTTTTTGGTATTCATTGGCAGCCATCACTCGCCTTACATTTGGTTAGTCAAGTGGTAAAGCTATGAAATTTATTAAAGCTTGAGATTTTGAAACACAGGTATTTTGGGCTCCTCGGTATAAAAAAAAAGGTTTGTGTCAGTCGTACACAGTTTCTTTTTGGCCTTATTACAATCTTAAATCATTGTCTACTTCAACATAGTTATTATCGCAAACTTTACAACCATAACCTTCACCCCATATTCATCGTCATCATCATCTTCATAGTCTTCATCATTGTCGTCGTCATAGTCCTCACCATTGTTATCATCGTCATAGTCCTCACCATCGTTATCATCGTCATAGTCTTTACCATCGTTATCATCGTCATAGTCTTTACCATCGTCATCATTCTCAATAACCATTATAACGTTTTCTGTTTTTATTGTATTATGTTCACTTCATTATATCGTATATGGTGACATTAATTTTTTAAACTAATGACAAACACACTTGGTGTAAAACGTCATAAATAATTTCATCGTAATAAAATATGTATCGACTGTTTCATGGCGATTGTTGCAGTAAATGCGTTTTTATTGAACTGCTTGTAAACAATTATGACAGCATTCGGCGATGTTCCAAGCGATGCATCTGGTTTTTTTTTTTTTTTTTTTTTTTTTTTTGTGGTTTTTGATTATTGGTATTGATCATCGTGTAAACTTGAATGGTGTTTTTATTGAACATCTTTTTGAAAATTATTGTATACTCGATCTGTTTGAATTCGTTTTTGTAGGTTCTGTTCAAACGTATAAACATGTAATTATTTTTTTTTACGTGTTTGTTTTTATTTCGAATCTATACATCATTTGAATAATCATTTTATTCTTAGTTATCTGTTCTGTTGCTGTTAGAGTAAATCAGTTGTAAATATATTATTATTTATTATCGGTAGAACTACTTGAGCTTAATTTGGTCTAATTCGAAATTTCCAGTTGGGGAGCGACAGGCAACTGGAATTGTTTGACGGCATTTTAATAGAATAATATGTGTAATTATAGGACGACGCTAACCAACCGATTGAAAGTGAATCCTAATGGGGCATTTCTTATATAAAAGTATCCTTCTGTCATTAGATACAATAGAATTTCAGTAATTGACAAAAGGTCATTATCAATTATTAACACTCATTTTCTAGTTATTGTATATTTAAAATTATTGATTTAAAAAAAAATCATAGGCCTACTCTCTTTGTTATCGACATTTAATTGTGTCTATTGTCGACATTGAATAACGATCATCATAATGAAAGTAAGGCTATTAATTGATGTGTATCGTTTATTCATTGAAATAATACCGTACTGTTACTATAGGTATCCACTGAAGTTTCAAACCTGTAACATATCCCTATATCTGTGCACTCACTGCGTCGTACGACTGTCGTACCACAGGGGTGGCGCCAGCGGAGGGCCGGGGGAATCCACGCTTCCCGTCGGGGACGTCCTGGCGCCACCCCTGTCGTACGACCGTCGACAAATGTTGAGGTAAATGGTATTTTCCGCGCATGAATAGGCCTATGTTCTTTAATTGTTTTGCTTTTTGGACAGCTGGTGAATACGAGGGTTATAGTCTAGTATTGGTGCGATGCGTGTATTAATATAAATTAAAGGTGATGCATAGCAAACTAATACGGAGGTCTAAAAATGAAATACTGTACAAAGATAGTGTTAAGTTTTTGTCACAAATTATTAGCTATTCTTAATACTTTTTATATAAGTTTATGACTGAAAGATATAAATTTAAAAAAAAAAAAAAAAAAAAAAAAAAACAATGGCAAATTATAAAGATTAGGCCTATCTGCTCCAGTTTCTACTTGCTTGTTTATTATGTGTACGCATGGCTGTGCCGCAACTTTGATTTATTATGTCGCAACAACTTTCCATAGTTTTCTCTGGGTTACTTCGGCTCTACTACATGAGGGCGTATATCAGTTGTATGAGGGGTGATCAAATCTGACTGAATACAGTAAACTAACAGGCTTCTATACTATAGCGCCGCGGTAGGATGCTATACCGTACTTGTCTTCACAGCGAAAAGTGGTAGTTTATACTACGTTCGTTCTATGGTATTCAGCTCTCTCAATTGTTTTCTATGTTTTCATCACTGTAACCTCATGATCGGAGATATCCGAAATTGTTGTTTTTACCTAATTAAATCTATGGCATAATCTTATTGGTGGGCTTGTTGTATATTATTATAATGAATACTACCGACAAAGGACCAGGAGTGTCTAGAAGTTTAAGTTTATTCTTTGGCTGTTTAGCTTGCAATTGAATTTTAGTTTTTCCATGTCAGTTTTTTACATTTCAACCGAGATAGTTCCATCGTTTCCTGTAATATTGTTTTTAGCATGTGTTTAAGAACAAATCTAATTTCCTAAATTTCACACTTCAGAATGTAATGAAATTTGAATATAACACACTACAAAAAATCACCCTCACGAATTAAACATTTAATCAGGTAATGATAAAATACGGTATACATACAATTACGTTACCTTGTATCAGAAAAAAAAAACAGGGCGCCTTGTTCATTGTATTTTCATATAGATTAGTCTGCGGATCTTGTTTGAGCTGGTCATTATGCGACCAATGTATCACAACAGCTTGTAATTGCCGACGTCCGTGAGAATTTGCAATTTTATAAGAGTTTTATCCAACCATCAATATATCATAACGTTCTTAAAGTGATCGCCTCCTGTTGACAGGTACTTAGGCATCCGAAACAGTATGATGCTATGTGCTATAAAATGATTTCATTAGAATATAAGAATGTTGATAGATCTTGAAAATCAAAAGATAATAATATTGAAACAGCAAAAATAATCTACACTTGTATGTATTTGCAATAGTAAAGTTATAGATAGCCTATTGTATTGTTTTTAAAGTTATTTTGAACCAAATCATAAGCAGGAATTAATACTTGTAGCTTTTCTTTGGTAATCTGCTTTTCTTCAAAAATAGTTTTGTCCCAGTGACACCAGCCGTTTGTCAAAAAACAGTAGCAGATTTATTACTTAATAAAACAGAATCTCCCCCTAAAATATATTGCCACTTAATATCAATGTTTGCAGGGGCGGATCCAGAATTTTTCGAACGGAAGGGAAAGGGAGCACAAGTTATTCTGAATAAATATGTGAGTAGCTGTAAATTCAATGTGTATTGAAATTTTAAAATAAAGTGGCAAAACGGGGTTGGCACTCGGTTCCCTCTACAGGACCCGTCTCTGGTTTGCTGTTAAGAACAAAATCCATGTGTCATAATAATTACAATGTATAAGTTCATTTTTTAGAATGGTCGATTCTTCTATTCTAATTTTATCGAATGCTTTTCAGCTTAGTAAGTAATATTTGGTACCTTCAATGTCACCATTTCCACATAGTGTGCAAAGACCTGTTACATCATTAGACCACTACAGGTATTGCAATCTTGAGGTAGTATATTAGACCCTTTTGAATTTCTAAGCATTTTAATTTTGAATGGGCGTGTATGTAATAATGTTGTTTGCATCATATTATTTGACCACTCTAAACTATAAATATAAATATACTATACATACACTATAACTATAAATCTGTCGACACATAGCATCCAACGGCGATGACTGAGAAAGAATTAAAAGTTGCATTATCAATATCAAAAACATGGTTTTTAAATATTCGTTTTCTACTTTTTTTTTTTTTTTCTTACGCTAAAAGGAAAAGTCAGCTCATGATAAATGCAGTAACAGAGATAGAATGATGACGTGAAAACGTGAAAGCACCAATTCAAATATCAGTATTCGCTGTGCACTTCCATTAAATTTCAAAGGAAAGGTTGGGGGTTGGGTAACTAGCTCAAGGATCAGCTTTGACGCGCCCTCTTTGTCGGTACATTGTCAACTGAGCGCAGACGTGAACATTTTTCTATTTTGTCATACACCATAAAACACACATAATTTCTTTTCTTTGGTACACAAGATATAACATAAAAAATAAAGATAATAATATATAGCTACATCATACCAATGCAAAATAACAAACTTCAATATTCAATAATTTCGTATCATAATGATTAAAACGTTGACAGCATTTTAACTATTAAACCAAATCATCGGTATATTGGCTTAGGCCTACATCGATAAACACTTTTTTGTTAAATAGCATCATTGCACTTGTCATAAATGAATTCATGTGGCGGCTTGTTCGCTTGAGTGTTGGAATCATTCTTCCCATGCTAGTAAAAGTGATATATTGGTGTAATGAATTCGGTATTGTTTTTGCTTAAGCTAGTGCTATAATACATATTCCTCATACTATTCAGGCGATTCCTTGCTCATATAAACACATGTTTCGCCACATTGAAGCTTATAACCCTACTAGCTGAAAGAAAATTTACGATGTATTTATGATTTGATATGAAAGTGAATTAAACTCGTCTGTGAAAGTCATAAAATATTGATTACAAGTTTAATGATAGATATGAATAAACATAAAAGGATTGAGATACGGATTTAGTGTGTGGGTTCTTATCCTCCTTGTTTGAAACGATTTATAGTATATCTTAAAATTTTATTGTGCTTTTACATAAGTGGAGGTTACCATAATTACTGGTGGATAGAATCATTTTATGCTGTCGTGAATAGTTAATATGTTCACCCTCTTCCAATTCGTTGGACGAGGAATATATTTTTTAAATATTTCATAGACTAAATTGCAAAGGTTGGGCTGAATGATACCCGTACGGGTGTCAGAAAGATTTAGGCCCAGGTGTATTCAACTCCCACAGCCTTACCCCCTTTTTTACAAGAACACATTTTATGAGAACACTGTGAGGTTAAAATTGCTTAAAAAATAAGAACAAAATAAGAACAAATTGAGGCTGAGGTAAAATTTGAATAGACAATTCAAAAAATCTTATCTGTACCTTATGTGCAATAGGTGTGACATGTAATCGACCCCTATGGGCCAAATACAGTAGTCATACTGCTGTTCAATAATAATATTCTATCTTTAAAAAGTGTGCGAGTACTTATAAGGAAACTGTGGACTGAAGCGACTGAAGCCAAAACATTCTTAACAAGAGGCGCAAAAAACGACTGCGTAGTGAAAAACCTGCTAAAATAGGGTGGACCTTGCGATAATCTACTCAGGTTAAAGTCGAAGTAAACTATATATAGCCAAAGAAAATGAATATCTTCCATATCAAGCGCGGGCTGCTACGATGTTAAGTAAGCCTATTATATTGTAGGTCATCATATTCTTTAGGCCTATTCTTTTTTCTATGTGATTTTTTTAATTGATCAGGGCTATCATAAGGGGTTACTTTCTCACAGAAATAGAAGAGAGGCGCCGCGACAATGGTACCATTTTAAAATTGTTTGTTTCTAAACTAATATCACAAAAATATTGTAGCATAATGCCGGGAGATCATTACAAAAATAATAGAATCTGTCTGGATTAGTACTTAGTATGAGCTCATCATGACATATTAATTCAAGTAGATATGGTGATGTTATTATAACACAAAGTCAGTAAT